ATTAAAGACCATTTTTATTTCTCGCTCTTCAGGTCAATGAATTACGTTGGCATTGGCTGGCATAACGTACATCGAATTATGACCGTCCGTTATGCTGGATAGGATCTGGGCTGTTGAGATGCATTCATAGGCTGCCATATTATTGTAGCACAGTATTTTCCATCTTTGAATTCCACGCTTTGCGCGAAGATCCATACGGATCTTTTTATTTCTTTTGGCGTCGGATGGCACCATTTCGTTTACAGGCAGTTTTGCAATGGGCAGTGTGCAACCAATGAAACGGTTGCACACTGCCCACTGCTTTGATATGCACCGGAGATGCGCAAGATTAGCGCACCGGCAATGTAAATTTCATTATGAAGCCGGATAGTTCTATTTCCAAACTTTGCATTGCCGTTTTTGGTTCGGGTAACTTTGATATGGCCCCACCGCTTTCGAGGCCGTAGGTGAAACAAATAAGTTTACCTAACTAGATATACATGCTGAAGGAATTATCACGTTACATAACTACGGCAAGTTTGGGCAAATGGTAAATAGTTCACAACAAGTTATGTTTGGCATAAGTTTTGTACAGATTCACCTCGTTGACCTCCCTTGGGTCACTAACATTCGTCGATTAAAAACTTAGATTTGCACAAAGGATGTAAACTTGATAAATTACATACAGGTACAAAAAATTTGGTGATGCTGCGAGCGTTCCGTTTTGAGCTACGCTCGAAAAATGGAAAGGAAAGTCGACTTCCCCGGCCTGGCGCGGATTAAGCCATTCATCTTGCAAGCTCTCATTCTGGAAAGCTGACCAACGCACGCGGACGCACTCGTCCGGCCCGCGCGTGGTGACCCAAGCGGGTCGACCCTGACCTGTGACAGCGGGCGGTCGGGAAGGGCTTTCGTAAACGAGGCGATTATGTCCCGGCCCACTCGTTCCGGGGAGAGGAACGCAGACGCTTTGAAACGCCGCGCGACTAGATTCGACTGGGGCTGGGCCTCAGCCGTTCGCCTCAACGGGCCAGAATCGACTAGGCCGGTCCCAAACAGTTGCCACGTACGTATCCTGGAATGTGTTGTAATTGGTTTCAGAGGTAGATCAATGTCGCGGATATTTGAACCGCAGATGAGCGTGACGTCACGACGTCGACACCAAATCAAGATGCACGAACGTTTGCACTTTACATATGTGTATATGCATACATGTGCACATATTTACTGAAGGCAGTGTTTATTGTGGTAACATCAAATCTGTGTGCCTTAATTTACGGCTACATGTCTACGTCTACATGTCTACAAGCCTGCAGGAAAATTTTGGCCAAAAAATAGGATCCCCAGCCACCTGGTCAGCTCTTTTGAAAGCGAAAATGATAAAATGTACTATTTTCGCTGTAATTCATTGCAAAAAAAGGACACAGTGGGAGCCAGCACTGTCTGGTTCAATACACCATCGATTCGGTGCTCTCCAATGTAATCAACGCTGTATTTGAACAGGCAAGCAATTATTTTGTTCTTTAGGTGACCACCCAAGTCAGAGCCATTTCATGCCGTGGTGACAAAATGTGCCTGATGATGGTACCCCTTCGCAGATGGGACACTTTGCCGGCAGTCTGGCACGTCTGCTATCTGAGACGAGCGGCTGGTCGATGATGCAGGCTCTTTCAACTTTAGTGGGTAAACGTGGTTATACGAGGCATCGGCATTCAGCCGATAAACATTTTGCACAACAGCACTGATTAATGCATTGTCTAGGCACGTACCTACATAATACGTCACGGACAAAGGTGGTCCAGGTTTGGAAATGGAGCTTTGGATATAGGTCACATCTTGGCTCACCTCAAACAATACATTTTTGGCGCCGGGAAAGTGAGGCTCCGTGTCTAAGCCAGAGGATGTCTGAAGTCAAAAAGAGAATAGTTCTGGTGTAATTGAACCACACGTATGCTAGAAACGGGTGGAAACTAGAACTAGAAACTAGAAACTACGCGACACAGAGCTCACGCCTAAATGCTTCATTACACATAAGTTGGTGCACCTCAAATACTGACTAAAACATAAAACACGTCAAATAATAGAAATCGTGCTTCCAGGCACAGCCAGCTTTTCCTGGAAATATTTTTTGCGGGGACAAGATTTCCAAATATGGATTGCGGGGCGGGCAGTTATTTAGTCTAAAAAGGGGGCAGCTTTGCAATACGCTGTCTGGACTCGGCGATTCATGACGGAACAGGGAGCAGCGCTGTAGCTGAGGGCATGTAAGGAGACGGCTGATGAGTGGAGCCTGATGGGACCCGGGACCATGGACGATAGCTCCGCAGCTCCGCAGGAAACATGCCGAGATAATTCCACCGACACCCGAAGAAGTCTACCGCTCTGCGATTGGTCGGTCTCCACCGGGCCGGCTTCTCTTGACCAATGAACGGGCGGCACCTCGCCATTCTGTCAACGTCGCCCGGCGCCCAGTTTGGCAACGTTGTGTTCTGGCGTGTTTAGTGCTTGCTGATCCTGAATCAAGTCCATAGGTTCTGTGCCACAGGTTAAAAGGTGAATGGAGCACATTAAGACATCGTGAGACGTTTCGTTCCACACAACGTCACGGGTGCAGCGTTGAATTGGACAACTATTCTGAGGGAAGAGCCCGTATGCTACCTTACCCAAAAATACTGATTTAGGCATGCACAATTTACATATCGATTTGTGTAACATATTACCGAGAACAAATGGCAAGCGACTGCTATTGTTACTTTGCCCGTACACACTTCGTGCACAGGCGCTGGGAGGGGTCATGGCTTCTCACGAAATAGGACGCAATGTGCGTTGACCGCCATTATCAGTCATCAGAACGCTTTGCCGCGGTCACAGACCGACCGACACTGCAAACGCACGGTGGCTCCGCCCAAATTTCTAAGGCTAGCCAATGAATGACCGGCTATTAGCTGCAAACTAATGACATCAGGCTTGACGGCCAGCGTCGTTGGTAATTCAGCCAATCACAGGACAGCAGGGCGTCGGCTATCGGCAGCACGGCGGCCATTGGTCAACAGCCTCGGGGAGGCCAGTTAACGCGCTGCGGGTCTCGGGTTCGTCTCGCTGCTGCTCCAGCATTGCCGTGTGTTCACTATCGCCGTGTAGCCGTGACTGCAGCATTGTCAGATGTGTGCGACGGCTGCACCAGTGGTGTCAGGCAGCCAGCGGTCGGACGGGACGCAGGTGTGCGGTGTTCGGTGATGTGCGGCCATCGGACGTCATGCTTTCCGTGCGCGTGCGACTGGCGGGCGGCCCGCAGACCAGCACAGGCGACAGCAGACCACTGTCTGCGGACGGGCCGGTGACACGAGCGACACGACACGAGTGACAGTCAGACCTCGCCAACGAGCCGCCCGTCAGCAACTGACTGCCGCACAGCTCCGGTTGCACAGACACGCTGCTCAACACGCCTCTCCCCAGCCAGTCGCCAGTCGCCAGTTGCCAGTCGCGTGCGTCGGTGGGCCGGTGACACGTGGCTGTGGCGTGTCGGACGGTGGCGGCGCACCTGACCGGGCCGGGCCGCAGCACTGTGGCCTGTGTGATGCTCACCATGGCTTATATTTCCTCAGGCTGAGCGGGCCGGGCGACAGCGGCGGCAGACGCTGCAGATGCCCGGCTGCCGGCAGAGCGTGGGTCGACATCAGCCACCGAACACACACGGCGGCTGGCTCACACAAACACCGGTCACCGCAGCACTGGGTCGTGCGCTCCGTCTTCTCGCCGCGGCAACCCAGGCGCCACGTGAACAAGCGACCGCCGGGGGTGCAGTGTAACAATGGAAGGTAACACGGTCACCCAGACGTATCCCCGACGAGGATGCGGTGCGATGCACTTTCAACGTGCAATCACTGCTTAGTTAGCTGACTCGGAGCTCAGCCGTCGGACCAGACTTGGCGCGACAATTCCAGCCTCCGATAAATAGCCTGGGGCGCATAATCAACGATCCCATTGACGGAGCGACGAACGCTCAGTTCGCTCCATCCGTCGACACGGAGGAGAGCGGGTGCGACATCCACCTACCGTTGACCTCGAGCGTGACGTCACGGTCCGGGGGCAGCTGGCGCACCAGGCTGTCTACCAGGGACCTGGTCCGGTCTAGGTCAGACCACCCCCACCCCAGTACCGTCAGTGACGGACAGCCGAGCACCAGCCTGCAACAGAGCACAGCACACGTCACACCCACAACACCGGCACACAGCGGAACAAAGGGCGCACCACCCACGTGCTCCGTGGTGCGCCACGCGCCAAATCAACTGTTCGCCAGCGTCAGCAGACGTTAGCCTGCGAGGCTTCCGCCGCCGTAACAGCGGGTGCCGCCCCCTGCAGCCGGCTCTGACTGGACGGATGACGCAGTGGGGAGCCCGGTGTGACGTCAGAGCCCGTCCCGGCCGCAACACCCCGGCCACATGGGGCTTGCACCACGTGACGGCCCTGGGAGCGGGACGCACAAGTGCTGTCTCGCGGTGAGCTCAGCTGCGGAGGAGCAGACTCTACGGCCACCGGTATGGGCCAGCACCGGGTCACACCTACGGGGGGATGGCGACGCGGAGGGGACAGGGCGAGCACACCGCAGGCAGGGGCACAGCCTGGTTCATTAAGGCTGCAGTTCGCTGGCCGTTCAACACCGGCCCGTCTTGGGCCAGGCTTAGACTACTGATCGAGGTCACATATCAGCTGCCTCGGCTGGGCTCGGCTGGGCAGGAAACACGCCGAGAGCTAAACAACAACAACAGGCAGCCTCCCGGGGTGTCCAGGCCACGTGAAACGCCGCCAGTTTGCAATGCTCCTCATCTAATCGCCTTCGTCACGTCCCCCACCGGTGAGCTCACCGTGTGACCCCATCTGTTGAACAAGAGACGCACTCGGTCAGGTTCAGCATCCTCAGACGCGGCCCGTGTAGCCGGTCCAGTGTGGCGTCCGTCACAGCTGACAGCCTGGTCAGGTCCAGCTGACGCAGCTGCCTGAGCCGCGGCAGGCTGTCCAGCCCAACAACCGTCACCCCGCGACACCCTGAAACACACAAGAAGCCGGACCGGGTCCAATGCATCAGCACCGTCACGTGATCGCCAGATGACGTCAGAACATGAACAGCGGCTGAACCGCTGGTGCTGTAAACAACACCGCCTTTCGCAACTCCATGGCGGAGCCACGGCATGCGGGGTCGGGAGCGTGTCCTATTGATATGGAACAGCTGGCTTTAATGCGTCACTTCAGCTGCACCATCACCGTGTTGCCACTACGGAATACACGGAAACTGCGTGATGTGGAATATGCTCACCGTATATGCTGAGTGAATGCAGGCCTGGCAGCAGGTCGGGCAGCCGCTTCAGCGTGGAGTCGGTGACTCCACCGGAGTCCGTCACGTCCAGGTGTCGGAGGGAGGGGAGGCCGGCCGGCGGCAGGCAGAGCTCCAGCGCCGGCTCCAGCCTCCACGCCGTCAGCCGCTCCAGCTGTGGACAGCCGGCCAGCACCGCCGCCAGGTCTGCCGCCTGCAGCCCCTCCACACCTGACACGTCCAGCCGCCGCAGCCGAGGACAGCGGGTCAGCTGACGCAGGCAGGCCGACTGTAGATGTAGACAATAGGCCACCGAGAGAGCCTCCAATGACTCGGGGAGCAGCGATAAACACTCTCCCCGCACGTCGCTCCGCGCCACGTCCAGCCGCCGCAGGGACGGCAGGCGGCGAAGCAGCGCCTCCGCGCACCGCTCGGCAGACCCGGGAGGCAGCGTGACGTCCCCCAGCCGGGGACACCTGGAGCACAGCCTCTCCAGAGGCTGTGGGGCCGCGTCGAAGTGGAACAAATCCACCCTTTCCAGGTGTCCTGAGAGCCGGGCTGGAACGACACACGGGTTTCAGTTTGAGACAGCGCTGCGTCCTGCAGCCTTTGCCCTCGCTCCCAGACTCCGTCTGATAACACGGCGACTGAGGCATGCGCAATTAAATGATAACGCTTTAGACGCGTCTGTCGCACTCACACTGACAAAACACACAAAACACTCACAGACGACGTCAACGGATAACGGCGCCGGCAGTGAGCAGTAATGGTAGGTTGTGAGCCGTCGCAGGGACGGCATGCGGCGTATCAGCCGCCCCACGCGCTCGTCGTTGGCGTGCTTCACGTCGTCTCCGGTAAGGTGGAGGTCGTGGCGGCGCCCCAGGCTGTCGTCCACTGCCTGGCGCCAGCCACGCGACACTGCCGGGACCGACAGAGCACATTGTACAGCGGACCGCAGCGGCGCAGACAACGATCATGTGCGACAAAAACATTTCCACCGGTCAGCACACCCAGCCAGCGGCAACGTTTGTCGCGCAAGCGTGACAGTGAGTTGAAAACACACGTCACTGCCATTTCCCTGTGAGAGTAGGAGATCTTACGCTGGCTGCGGCTGGCGGCCAGGTCGCTGGCAGCTGGTGCTGTCTTACCTGCTCGGATCGCCGGCGCAAACAATCCGCATCAAGCGGTCCCATAGACAAATAACACAACAATTCGACAACTGGAGGGCTTTAAGTCTGGACCCTTGCGACGACAAAGCAGTCCGTAACGCAAATGTGGCCCGCGAAAGTAGTATAGCAAATGATCCCAAACTGAAGCTGACAACAGTCCACCATTTGGCGTGATCATTACCTTCACGTTGCACGATCTGGAGGGTAAGCAGGGTAATCTTCGGCATATCTTTTTGCGACTTCTTTAGAAATCATACGTTGGGCTCGGTTTGTACACACTTGAACAACGCGTAAAAACTTGCGTCTGCATTCTAAGTAAAACTTTTGCACTATTTATCACGACTTATACAAAATGCAGTCACGTTTAAAGATGGCATTTACAACAGATTGCGAGTACAAGCTGAACGCTCTGCCTCTCTCCTACCCCACCGCCCTTCTCAAACTGCCTCTTATTTCTCTGACATTTGCCAGCACAGCTTTCAACAATACGTCACGCGCTCAACGCTCGCGCTTGCTGTAGGCTTGGTCTTCTTCAAGAGGGAGGCGTGTGGTGGCAAAATATCAAACACGGCTCACACTAACATTACTTGGGGTGGTCCTGAGGGCTTGGTCTTGAGGGGTTAAGAGGGGGGAGGGGGAGGGAATGTGCGGGAGGGGGAGGAACAATTGTCTGGCAACACTGAACAGTCGGTTCCGTGTTGATCGGGACGTGCGGGCCCATTTCCCGTGCAGGAGGAAGTCCGCGGCCCGCGATTTGCATAGGTCGGGGCCCCTAAGTCAATGAAGGCCTTTCACGGTTGGTTCGGGGCCTACAGGGCCTAAAAGTGCGGCTTTTGTCGGCAAGTGCCTCTATTCGGTCACGGGCAGTGTTCAAGGAGACCACACAGCTCACAGGGTGTAGCGGCGCGAATGGAGGGCTCGGAGGGCACGAGTGCTTGCTGCAGGTGACATTAAGAACCCCGGCTCCAAGGACAGGGCCCTCAAATGTCAGTCAGTGGGCCTCTTGCGCCGATTGTAGACACCTTGTGACAATGCGGGCGCCTATTTTAGACAGGCACCACCAGCACAGAACGGTTGGATGCGTGTCAGTATGGGCCTTGGGAACATATTTCTCAAGCAAGAAAAAGGCCCGGGCCCGAGATTGGCGCTGGTAGCAGCCACTGGAATTATCGGGGGTCCTGTGTCAGTCAGGGGCCCACAGTGCCTTCGGTGCCGGCAAGGGGCCTCGAGTCAGCCAGGGGAACGCTTACTGAACATGGACAGGGACGGGACCTCGAATGTCACAGGGCCTATTACGTTGATACTCTCGGACCAACGTGACCCTCCGTCCGCACGTTGTCCGTCGCCTGACATTAGTCACGGGACAAAACGCAGCGAGGCTTAAGGAGACTGGAACGCCGGGCGTCGGGTGTTTGACACGCGAGCGCGCATACTCAAAAATATGCTGCATAATGTAGGACAATCCGATTCTAAATGATGGTAGACCATACCAATGGAAATGTTTGACCTCGGTACGACTCTGTATGTCTGTAGAATCCAGAAAAATACCGACAAAAGACCTGAGCGTTAGACGCCACTCGCTGCTCTTGGTTCAGAAAGAGTCCACTGAACCATTGTAAACTGAAAAGTGCCGGTGGTTTATTCTATGTAGTCATTAAATCCTGTTTTCAGTTTACTCACTTCGAAATGCAACGAGAAAGATACCTTGCGGTGGCTTACGTGTTTTTTTACATATGGGTGAAGGCAAAAATCAGTTATGCTTTTTAGGGGGAGGACATTTTATAGCCAGGGCCCCTATGTCGGCCCTGCACCCTTTCCCCTTACGAAAATTCTGGCTGCGCTCCTGGTCGCCGTGATGGCCACGACTGTCGTGTGCTCATGACTAGATTAGAAGGTCCGGTGGACATATCTACGGCCCATGTGCTTTGACATAAACAGCACTGGCAGTGGAGGTCATCTTGGATATAAAGGGAGAGGTTGGAGAGGCTGTGGCTGGTTGGGTGGGATTGGGTGCTAGTGACGTACAGTCCTGTTCCCCGCATCTCGTGAATCGCCCGCTCAGGACTCTCGAATTACCAAGGTAAGCTTCTCGGGAATCGATGCTGTTTTCTGTGTATGCTAATTGTTCTTACAAATTCATGTTGCCTAATGTTTCAGTAAAGTGCCAACACACGACAACAGCAAAGAGAATCAACATCACATCCATGGCACTACATCAAGTCATGTGTCTTACAGTTGACGAAGTAGTCGATAGCCGGCTAACCAGTCTACAAACCGCCATGACCGATAACATAGGCAGGCATCGTACGTAAGGAAGAGCCAGGAGGATCTACAATGCCAAAACCAGCCAAGCCATAGTTTCTCACGCAAAGCTGTTCATCGCGGCTGAAGAGAAACGCTTCCAGTATGACCCTTGATCTTTCGAAGCTCACAAGGCTCATCGCAATAATCGTAATCCATGAGGCTTGTGGCCAAGGTTCTGCCAGCTCTTGGTAGAGCGTCGATTTCATGGGAGTGATCTGTGACTGGTCAGGCACGACAACTTAAAATGCCTTGCAGTTTTGATCATAATGGTCCGAGATGTCCCTATTCCCTTTGTGTTGTAGGAGTATGCAACCGTGACATTAGCAAGCCGTCGCAATTATTGCATCACATTGAGACAGGTACATCAATGCATCATTTTTTATGGTCCGTGTTTGGTGTGCTGCCAGGAGAGCTAATGTTGACCGTTCGCCAAAAGGGAGGGGGAGGAGCGCAGTTGGCCACAGCAATAAATTAGGCATTTATCAAAATATGGCGGGATCAGTCAGCTGAGAAACAAAACTTCAGGTAGGAATTAGGTTATTGGGCCATCAGCCCCCTCCCCCTAGTCACTTAGAAAGTTTGACGCCCCTGGGAGATCAAGATAAGTGAGGCTGTCAGTGGCATAGGTCATTTGATCAGAACTTAGCGCGAGTGGAAGAGTCTGCAATGTGCGTGCGAGACCATCATGGCAACCATGGGTGTAACCCCTGGCAGGTGGGCAGGGGTGAGAGAGAGAGACAGCACTCAGCTATACGGCCCTAGCACCCAGGGGCGGATCCAGAGCGGGGCACGGGATCCACGCCCCCCCCCCCCTCTCCCTTGGGCTCCGAAGGGGCCCCATGGCCGGCCGAACAGGTGCAGTTTTTGAAATACAAAGCGCAACAAAACTGGGCATCTCTGGACTTCCAGGCGACCAAGAACAATTGTGAGCAAAACTGCAGGGGCTATGAGAAGTTGAATAAATCATTCAATGATTGGAAAAGTTGCTAACTGGAAATTTTAAGCCTTATTACATTGTCTAGAGGCCCCATGCTGTTTGCGGGGCTTACACGCCCACTTACAGGATCATCCCGATCGTTAAGGAGCGTTCCACGTCTCCCTTTATCTCTTTGCATTTGCTCGGAGGGCCCTGCGCTGTTGTTGGAGCCCTTCCTCTTAGCGTGCCTGGGCACTCTTGTCAATCATTGGCCCGTACACGGATTCTTTCCATTCGCCAGAAAGGCTCCTAGGCACTTCTTTTCTGAATGGGAGGGGGGAGGGGCTACGCTCTTGTGGGGTCTATTTGATAGCCTGTTCGGGCACATTCGGTCGTCGGGGCCCCTCTACGTTGGGCCTTGGGCACGTGCTATTTGAATTCGGCCCTACGCACTTGTCGGGCGCCCCTTCTGTTTGCCACCTCGGCCATGTTGGATTGCCCGGGGGGCCCCGCACATTGTTTCTTGGTGTTTGAATTTAGGGCCCTCTGCTCCTGTCGGGTCATCTGATAATCTGTTCAGCTAGACTCCATCTCTGGGGAGCCCTCCGCACCGGGTTTTGGGTACTTCTTATTCGAATGGAGGACCTTACGCTCTTGTCGGAACCCCTTCTTATAAGATTCTCGGGCCCATTCGGTAATGGGGGACCTCTACATCTGGTTTTGGATACTTTCTTTTAAACGGAGGGCCCTCTGCCCTTTTCGGGGCCCCATCTGTCAACCTACACTGGTGCAGTCGATTATTCGGGGCCCTCTATATCGTGTTGTGAGTATTTCATATTCGATGTTAACCTGCTCTGACGCACTGGATCGTTCGGGGATCCTCTGCATTAGATCCTGAATACTTACTATTTGAATGGAGGGCCGTACGCTCTTTTTAGGAATCTATCTGTTAACCTGTTCTGGCACACTCGATCATTCAGGAGCCCTCTACATCGGGTCTTGTGTACTTCCTTTTCAATGGAGGGCCCTACGCTCTTGTCGAGGCCCCATCTGTTAACCTGCTCGGGCCCACTCGAATATCTGGGGGCGCTCCACATCGTGTCTTGGGTAATTCCCATCTCAATGGAGGGCCCTACGCACTTGTTGGGACCCTACCTGTCCACCGCTTCGACCACACTGGTTTGTTTGGGGGCCCTATATATTGGGTCTTGGTATTTGAATTTAGGGCCTTACACTCCTGTTTGGCCCACCTGATAATCTGCTCGGGTATACTCTATCTTTCGGGGGCCCGCCGCACTGGGTTTTGGATACTTCTTATTTCAATGGAGGGCCCTACGCTCTTGTCGGGCCCCTTCTGATAAGCTGCGCGGGCATATGCCATCATTCTGGGGCCATTTACATAGGGTCTTCGGTGACTTTCCAAATCGAATGGATGGACATACGCTCTGGTTGCGAGCCCTATTTGTTAGCCTGCTCGGGCCACACTCGATCATTCGGTGGCGGCCACTCTTCATGGGTCTTGGGTACTTCCTATTTGAGACGGAGGGACGTACGCTCTTGACGGGGGCTTGTATGCTTACCTGCTCTGACGCCCTGGATGTTCGGGGGTTTCTCTGTCGATCTTGAATACCTTACTTTGAATGGGGGCCGTACGCTCTTTTGGGAAGCTTATCTTTACTGTTCGGCCCTGATATCATGAGCCCCCACATGCGTCGTGGGGTACTTCCTGTTTTAACAGGGTCAGGCCCGTACTTTCTTGCGTCGCTGACGTTCAACCCCTTTCTTATTTAAATGGTGGTGCCCCATGTTCTTGGCGGGCCACAACCAGTCAGCTGCTCGGGCCGGGGGCGGATGCAGAAGGTCGGGGGGGGGGGGGGAGGAACGGGACCATGCCCTATGGACCATGCCGAAGGTGACCTAAAGGCTCCGAAGGGGCCCATAACCGGCCGGACGAACTCAGTTTTCTCACAACAAAAACACAACAAAATTGGATGCCTTTGGGGCTACAGGCGACCAAGAACCATGGTTAGCAAAACCAAAAAGTTCATAAGCAAGCAAATTTCATTCTTCGCTGATTGAGAAAGTGCTGCTTGGGAGAAATTTAGGGCCTCATTGCGCTATCTAGAGGCATCACGCTGCTGGTTGCCTGGCCCTATAAGTCACTTGCCGGGCCAATCTGATCGCTAAGGAACTTTCCACGCTGCCCTTGACCTTCTTGCATTTTCTCATAGGGCCCAATGTGCTATTGGGACGCTATCTGATCCTGAGCCTGAGCCTGAGCACTATTGATCGATCAGGTTTTCCTCCACGGATTCTTTCCATTTGCCCGAAAGGCCCCATACACTTTTTCCGGGGGTCCCATATGCCAGGGCACACTCTCAGGGGCCCGTCATATAAGTCTCGGATTCTTTCTCCTTGCTTGGAGGACCTTGTGCTGTTGCTAGGGCTCTTATAAGGTGAGGTACGGAGACACTCGATGCTCAGGGGCCCTCTACTTTGATCAAGAGCTCTCTCCCTTTGCTCTCATTTGCAAAAGACTCTTCATGCCTATCGAGGCTCTTGCTGTTAACCTGCCCGTGCACGCTTGATCGCACCGGGGTATTAATTTATGGTCTTGGATAATTCCCATTTGCTGAGAGGGTCGTGTGCTATGGCCGGGGCCTTATATATCAGCCTGCCGAAGCACTACCAATCGCTTAGGGGCCCACCACGCTGGTGTTGGGTTCTTTTTGCTTGCTCTGAAAACCCTACACCCTTTGACGGGAGCCACTTGGTTGGCCTGCTGCGACACCCATGATCGCTCATGTTCCGTCCCTATTGGCCTTGATGCCTTCGTCTGAGAGCAGCAGTCGAATATGCGCCGATGAATTTTTACGCGCTATTGCCGCACGTAGACATGCGCAGACGTCGTATGTGTCATTTCAATTGGCTATTGAGTGCGTGACACTCATTATACTAGTGCATCACGTTCGTAAAATATTTTGAACGCAAGGTTATGTTGTGCTACTTAATAACAAAGGAAATATTCTGCATTAGTCATCAGCCATCAGCTGATAAGATCGCACAGCCGGCTAGTCGTAAATGCATAAGCCAGCAATCAAGTCCATGCTTGGTTTAAATGGTTGCTAGCAGCCAACACAAGTTTGTTTTCCTGTTGCTCCCAAACACTTAGCCTCAAAAATACAGCATTTAAAATGACCTGTAGAATATGAGCGAGCTTTATGTGTGTGAATGCGAGCATGCCTAGCTTTATAAGGTTGTGCAGAGTAAGATGGGTTTCCGTATTTATTAGATAAATGACAAAGTAAATACATACATATATACGACGTAGCACTAGCCTTGAAAGGTAACATCCGGAAGGCAGTTTTTTTTGGAGGGGGACCACAAACTTTAGGGTGTCACGATGTTGCGTGCCCCCCTTAACGAAATCCTGGATCCGTCTCTGCTTGCACCAGTGGACGGACCCGCCGCTTCGAAACACTAATTAACTTCGACATCTATCGCATACTGCTATCACCGCTGGTGGCCTTTGTGACGATCAGATGTCGCTACAAATGCAATACGCGCCTGACTTGGAGCCAATGGAGAGGCTGAGGGTCCTTTGCCGACAGATCGAAATGATCGCGTGAAAAGTTCAGTTTTTAGATTTTCCAAGCGGTCAAATATTTATGTCTGTGCGTACTGCACATGATGATGTTGCGTGATCTCAGTAATGATCGTTCCAGGTTTTACTTGGCATGTGTCCTGGCGGTGTTTTATGCATGGCTTGAATGGAATGTTCCGCATTTAAGATATTGAGATAATCAAATATGACGGGAAAAGCTTGCATGTAACTATTGGTAAGCGTTC